TTTCTGTTTATACTCAATTCCACCACCACAACCAAGTTCAATAAGGTGACTCCACATGCACAACAACCAAAAAGTCATTAGATCTCGTGAAAGCAAGTAACAAAACTTTAAAATCCATCACCAATGATAAAAACAATCCACTAAAAACTCAAACTCACTGCATAAACAAAAAAAAAACTAAAATACAAACTCCACCTAGCCAGATATTAGAAGAACAAGAAGACAAAGAAGACGATGAATCATTTCACTCTCAGTGTTCAAAAATCTACCAAACAAATTTCACCGCACATTAAACCCAAGCCTACAACGAATCTCAACAACCTCAAAAGCCTACATAACAAATGCTAACAATGAAATGACAAAAGGATTCATCTACGCACTGCTTAATCTAAAAAACCAACCAGAAATAAATATGACTAGAGAACGTTGATCCACTGTCGCACACAAGTAAAAACGAGTTTAGAAAAAAAGTAGTTACCGAAAGCGACACTCGAATGTCGCATCACAAGAACTCTTGGAAAAATTAATCGACTAAACAAACGATTTAAGGGGATGTTATATTTGATTTATCGACTGGGCAATAAATGACAAGGATTCATGAGACTAGTCATATGTATGCCACGTGGAAGATAAAAAAGAGAGTGAGTCTACATAATTAGCATGACTCAAGGTCGAGATCCACATAGGGTGATATCGGTCGAAGGTGGCATGGTCGAAGGACATGGTGAAGAACTTGGGGATTTAGTAAAATTGAGTATTATATTATGTTGGCTAAGTTTGGAGTCCATCATTACAGTGAAAGTAACATCAACTCAGCCACCAGACGTGGAGTCCATCGCTATAATAGAAACAATGTTGACTTGGATGCTACATGTGGAGTAAATCACTTCAATGGGCAATCCAATGGAGCATGCTAGCTGACAAAGTCGACGTCGAAGGCCTCAATGGGATGGCTAATTCTTAGCGCCAGCAAAGTAGTTGAGAATTCAAATAATAGATCAAGGTCGGAACTACGTCAACGTCGACAGTTACTTGGGAAACAGGGGACACGTCGAGGAAAACCGCTACATAAACTTAGGACGTGTCATCATGGGAGTGACTTATCATTCTTGGACGATTATTTTAGAGTAGTATATAAAGAATCTTATGTTTATTTATAAGGGGTCCACAAATTGTACACATTGCTGTAACACTCAAAGTACCTGCATTATGAGAAACGAGTGAAGAAAGATATACGTATGCGTTCCATCACTTTATACAATTTCAACAATTTTACTTTAAAATCATTTCTTTTACTTTTCGATTTTCTTTTACCTTTCATATAATTTTATATTCCCTACACTTTGATCTTAACATTTTCCTGCATTATATCTCTTTCGATCTCAAAGTATTTTTTCTTTACTTTTCTTCCATCTTGTTGTTTGTAATTTCTCAATTCTCTGATTGCTGATTTTATTCACAAATAACTTCAATCAACATCTTTTTAAAGTATTTTCAAGAAGTTTACTTTAACTTCGACAAGCTTTATGATGTTCACGAATGGCACACACACACCAACATGTCTGGGAGATTTTCGAGTTTGATCCCTTAAGTATTAATAAAAACTTATATTTGTTTACCAAATTTCATAGTAAACAAACTGGCACGCCCAGTGGGACCAGTTTATGTGTTCTTTTAGATATCCTTGTTTAAAATTCATACTTTCGTGTTTAAAATTCATACTTTGCTCTACATGTGTTCTTCAACTTCTCATCCCGTGTGTGAGTGAATGAAATTAAGGCGTGGTAAGATAACAAAAAGAGAAGTGAGGAAACCTATTAGAAGATCAGTTAGAAGAATGGTGAATCTTAGAAATAATAATAGAGATCAACCTTCTAATAGTCCTGGGGGAGGAACAATTACTAAACCTATCCTTTCAACCGCTAGCGTGACGGTGATGCCATCCACGATGGTAGCATCAACGATTTTTCCTGAGTGGACAGTTTTGTCCCTAATTCCCCAAAGTTATCCAGTGACTCCTAGACCAAATATGGAAACAAATTTTAGACCTTTTGCCACAAATTTCACAATGTCGATTCTAGGGCGTGAACAACCCTTTGGGATGCCAACACCAGTTACAACAAGCTTACAGAATAACCTTACAACATTTGTGGATAATGTTGCAAATATGTTTTCGCCCATTATGGCGTTTGGTTCAGCCATGAGAAACCATGGTCAAAATGTGGCACCCCATATAGGGATGTGATTTGGCTCCAAAGTGATGTCTGCCATGACCACAAACTCTGTCATGACAATAAGACAACAAATGGATGAGAGTAACCATGATATGGTAAACACTCTAACACAATAAATATGTACAATATTTAACCCATTGATTCAAAATACAAATCAGAGTTACCAGTAATTAGCGAATTAGATGACAAGGATTGTTGACTTTTTTGGCACTCCCTCAGTGCAAGTTCAACCAGATGCACAACCCTAGGTTATTGCCCATGTTCGGAAAGAAGGAGTAGTTTTACAAGAAACTGTGAACCAAGGACAACAAGGAAATCCCTCACAGGCCGAACATGATGTAAATGTTGAGGAAGGTAATCGACTTGTGATAGTGGTTAATCAAAACCAGGATGCTGACCAAGTGGTCCACCAGGTTCGACAAGGGAATTTGTTAGGAGAAAACAACTTGATAACCATTGTCGAAATAATAATGGCTTAAAATAAAGTTAATATGGGCTTACAAAGACCAAATTATACATCTCCTCTGTCAGAATATGTGTTACAAGAAGAATTTCCAAAGGGATGGAAAGTTCCTAAGTTTACAAAATTTGGTGGTGATACCAATGAATCTATTGTCAAGCATATTGCTCGTTACCTGACTGAAGCAAGTGACATTGCAAACAATGAGAACTTGAGAATGAGATATTTCCTTAGTTCTCTAACAAAAAACGCTTTCACATGGTTTACGACCTTATCTTCTCACTCAATCCAAGATTGGGCACGTTTAGAGAGGTTGTTCCATGGGCAGTTTTACATGGGACAATATATGATTAACTTAAAAGAATTGTCGAGCGCGAAGAGAAAGTTCGCTGAATAAATTGATGACTACTTAAACAAATTTCAGTAATTATAAACAAGGTGCTTCACCCATGTGCCTGAACATGAGCTAGTCAAAATGACTGCTGAAGGGTTAGACTATTCCATTAGGAAGAAGTTAAACACTCAATATCTAAGGGATATGGCCCAATTACCAAATAGAGTCAGACAAGTCAAGAGATTAAAGGCCGAGAAGGCCAGGGCCGACAAGAGTAAGAAAGAGTATATAACTTACGTCGACATGCTAGACCAAGACATAATGTCTGAGGTTGATTATGAGTATGTCAAGGAGTCTGAGGTTGAGGTGGTTGAGTTGAAGCTAGGTCTCCCATATGTATGTAAGTTGCTTACACCTGCAAATGGGAAGAATCCTGTAGAGCCTAAAGAAAATAATAAGTTTCCTAAGAAAACTACTGTTAAACGGGGGTGAAGAGAAAGAACAAACTCGATAGAACATCGCCGCCATATGCCTACATATTCCCTCGTGCAACAGAAAAGTTAGAGTCAACGTAGTTCGGGAAACTACAGATGATGGGGGGAAGGTTGCTCGCCAAGACATCGCCGTCTTGTGCCTACGTATCCTCATCTGGTATGAGAAATCAGAGCAAACGTAGTTCGGGTAACTACGGGAAAAAAAAAGAAAAGGGTGCTCGCCATCTTGTGCCTACGTATTCTCATATGGTATGAGAAATCGAGCTAACGTAGTTTGGGTAACTACGGGGGAAAAAAAGAAAAGGGTGCTCGTCAAGACTTTTTCGTCTTGTGCCTACGTATTCTCATATGGTATGAGAAATCAGAGAAAACGTAGTTCTGGTAACTACAGGGGGACACACTAACTAAACAAAACAAATGACTAGAGAGTGACACGCTAACTTGTGATCTATTTCATGATTATGTACACCGCACAACATATTGAATTTTAATCATTTTTTCGTTATATAGTACATGTGCAACCTAAAAGGACATATACATTTTCTTGATCTAGTGTCATCACGTTTCAACTTGCGGAGAGGTTTATATTTTTCACTTCTTTCACAATTCATCACAACAAATGATTATCTTCTATTAGATAAATGAAATAGGGTAACATAAAAGAAATTAAGAGACTAACTTGTAACGTTTTTAAATTAAAGAACTAAAGCAAAACATTAAATTAAAAGACTAAAACATACATTAAACCAACAATAAGACTATTGGCTACACAACTCTTAACATTGAAACACATGACTTAGTTGAAAGAAGAGTGAGCTTTTTTTTTTCAAATGATTTTTTATTGAAATTTACTCGAGCTTCTTATAATCTGTGACAATAATGTCTAGTTGTTTATGTTGCAATCTCATCTTATTTTAAGAGAATGTTAATTACTTGTCGTTTCTTATTATTATTATTATTTTCATTCTTCTGGCAGGTTCAGATCGAACTTCTCTACCCCAAAATGTTTAACTTATCTTTTATATTAAATCTATTCCAATTAGATAAAATTTTGAATAATATCTAGCTTTATATTAGTCTATGGACATTAAAGAGCTTCATAATTTATCTTCTAAAAAGTTCTATTAAAATGGATGAATTTTCATCTATAGAGAGCAGGTTACGAGAAAATCGTCAAGAATTTTTCAAAATATATTTCTGAATTCTAGAAATATATTTCAAATTATATTTTTTACAAAATAAAAATGTGGTTCACTTAGTTATATTTTTAATGTATTTTGGAGTGGCTTAAGTTTTCGCATGATACATAGATGGATAAATACATGGATCTCATGAGAATCTTTTGGAAATTTCAAAGCCCATTAAGTAAGTTTACAAGTGTTTTGCAATAGTGGCTACTACTATCTTGCATCTACACGACACTTTTTTCTTTTCCTTCAGTTAAGAGTTAGAGTTGAAGAAAACTGAAGTCAACAACAATGAGTGGCATAGCATTGATACCCACACCTTGTAATCTCGTAATTGCGTCTTCTTCATCATCCTCCAAATTTCAGAAAACAATCCGAACCAAAACCAAAGTCTCACTCAACAACGCCATATCAATTTCTTCAGATCCCTTCATTCTCGAACTCGCCGAAGCCTTAGAAGACTCCGTTCCCACACCACAACCTCTCCAAAACCTTCGAGAAGCTTCCTCCGAATCTCTCCTCTCATCCTCATGGCCTTCCCGCAGAGACGAGCCCTTTCGTTTCACCGACGTCTCTTTCCTCCGCTCTTCCCAAATCCTCCCCGCCCCAATCCCAACCCCAACCCTAACTCCGTTCTCCACCTCCCAATTCCCCTGCCACGTCAGCATTGTCGATGGACACTTCATAACCTCATTGTCTGAAACCTCGGAGTTTCCCGATGGGGTTTACGTTGGTAGTTTGTCGAATCTGAATTCTACTGTTGCTGAAAGGGTGTTGGAATTGGTTTGTGGATTGGACGGTGGTGATTTGTTTTGGTCAATTAACGGTATGGGTGCTCCTGATTTGACGGTGGTTTATGTACCGGAGGGTTGTCGTCTTCAAAGTCCGGTTCATTTGGGTTATTTTTCATTGCAGGGTAGTAAGGAAGGTTCGAATGCTTTGTATCTTTCGAATCCGAGAGTTTTGGTGGTGGTGGAGAAAGGTGGAGAAGTTGATATAATTGAAGAGTTTTCCAATGATGAAGAGAATGAGAATGAGTGTTATTGGACTAATGCTGCTTTGGAAGTGGTGATCGGGGAAGGGGGTAAAGTTAGGCATTCTTATATTCAGACTCAGTCACCTCTTGCTGCGCACATCAAATGGACCTCGGTTCGCCAGGTTAATCGTCTTTTTCAAACTTCAATTTAGGTGCATGTTTAGTGTTTGTTTAATTGCCTTAGAGTTAGATTATGAAAAATAGGATTTTCAATGAACTTGGTTTGTATGGAATTGGGCTTAAATTTTTAGATTATGCAATTTTAACTGTTATCGAGTATAACATCGTGCTTAAATACTACTATTCAATTGCAAGATTGCCATTCTATGCTCGTTGTTCATTTAGCTCCACTCGCTTTGGTAAAGGGTAAGCCACTTATTAGGGAATATAAGTCAAGTCATACACAACAGGTCACCTGGACCTATGAAAAAAATGGAATCACTTTCAAAACAATTATTTTTAGTAAATGTTAGAAGTACTGCCATTATTTGTCATAATGTTTATATTTATATCACACAGCAAGTACTTATGTTTCCTTTATAATCTATAACAAGTATTGCCTTCAAAAGAGTGATTTTCTATTGGGCTTTGCTATTTAGTGTGAGAGTTTTCATACAGGCTTTTGACTAAGATAATGGCTAACCACAAGGGAAGAGAAATGTAAGTGATTACAAGTGAGGATAGAAAAGTAATTGTTTAAAAATAACCTCTATTATTGCATTTCGTGTAATGATTGTTTTGTAACAACCAACATTTCTGTTTTCTATTTTTGAGAAGTTATGCAAGAGTGGATATGGAGAAGAAATTTGACATGATTGGTTTGTGATTCTCTGTTAATTGTTTGCAGGAATCATCCAGTACATACGAGCTTACAGAGGTAAGCACAGGAGGCAAACTAGGAAGGCATAATCTTCATATCAAACAACTAGGTCCGGAAACGGTGACAGAGATATCAACTTTGCACTTGTCTGCTGGTAATCAAACACAGGATCTTCACAGTAGTCTTGTATTCGATCATCCAAGGGGCTATTCTCGTCAGCTTCATAAGTGCATTGTGACTCATTCACAGGGACAGGCAGTTTTTGACGGAAACGTTAAGGTTAACAGGTAATTCTTCTTTTTCTTTTAACAACCATTCAGGAATGAATTAGGCCAAATTTCAATTTGTTTCTAATTGTGGTTCTGTGTAAACATGTTTTTATGATTATCTCAACAAGATCAAACATGGATCGGATATGTCTTGCATTTGTTGATGAATTATACTATTCTTGTGTAGATATGCCCAGCAGACAGATGCAGGACAGTTAACAAGAAGCCTTCTTCTTGAACCCCGTGCAACTGTAAATGTTAAACCGAATCTCCAAATCATTGCGGATGACGTCAAGTGTTCCCATGGAGCAGCAATAAGTGACCTAGAACAAAGCCAGCTCTTGTATTTCCAAGCACGCGGCATTGATTCAGAAACAGCTAGAAGGGTTCTAATATTTGCATTTGGAGGTGAAGTGATCGACAAGTTTCCTTATTCTTCCATTAGAGATAAAGTACGAAGTCAGATTAAAAGTTTATTGGATCCATCTTCTAAATGATCACCCATTATAGGTTTGTGCTAAATTTAAACATGTTTTGTCAGCTTGGTCAAAATATTAATTGAAATAAAAAAAGTTATTTTTTCTTGTCATGGTTTTTAACCAATTTTGACAAAATGAAGTGTCTACTTCGGTACTTGTAACAATTGGGACAATTAGGGCTTCATTCATCACCGTGCAATTCTAGTTGTATTTATGTCTTCTGCAATTTGTAAAATACATTTGTAAGGTGAGTAAGAAAACAGAATTATTATAGGACTTATAGTTGTGTATGATGTATATATATACATATTTCTATTTCAGGAATGTCAATAATTGTTCCTTTTCATGTAATCAAACATGAGAAGTTAAGTTCTACGTATAATAACTAGAAACTGATCTTATTAGTATGTAATATGGCATTTATTCACATTATGTCCAAGGCACACTACATACTAGTATTTCTTAGGGCAAGAAAAGAAATCCAATTTGCTAGAAAACATAACAATCCAAATATAAAGAAAGTAAACGGGATTTAAAATGAATCGGATCAATTTAAAAATAGTTTAAAATTCGATTTAATAATTAATTCATTGAACTTGTTTTTGTTTTATGAATTAAATGAGCTTAATTTTAGCTAAAAATTGTTGAAAAATGTGGCATAATTTGTCTCTTCTATAAACTCTAATTTGACACTAAGTGGATGTAAAATGAGGAGGACATATTAGAGGATACAAGTTTAAAATCTTGACCCACTCTTCAAAAAAGTGTAGACAAAATGAACCTATAGGTCAGATCTATTTTACCACCCATATTAAGAGTGTTTGGTAAAACTTACTGGTAAGCTAGTTGATAGCTGAAGACTTATAGCTGATAAGCTAATTTGAATATTTGATAAATTAGCGGTTACACTAACTGATAAATATAAAAGGACATTAATTAAAAAAATTAGTGATCTTATTTATTAAATTAATTTTTATTCAATAAAAATAAATAATAAAAATTCAAGTAATAAATAATTAAAATAAAAATTTAAAAATAATAAAAGACAATTTAATGAAATGAATTAAAATAAAAATTTAAAAATAATAAAAAACAATTCAATGCACTGAATCAAAATATTTCATTAATAATAAAATGGAAAATGAATTGTATAGTAAATTTGTTCAGTAAAAATAGTGACTAATCTTATTCTCACAATTAAAACATAATAGTTTTAATTTAAATTATAATAAAATATAAAGGATAAAAATGGATGTTTGATAAAATAGTGAAGATAAAAGTGAAAGAAAAGTCATAAGCTAAAAACTATAAACTTAAAAGCTACTTCAAATTACTTTTGAAAAAAAACTAAAAGTTGATAAAAAAAATTATAAATTAAAATCTAAAAGACAGATATATTTTTTATTAATGTAAATTGAAAAGTTAAAAGTTAAAAATTAAAAATTAAAAATTCTTTTTTAAATCTTGACATGAAGACTCTAATTAATCAGAATTATATCCATTACCCGCAATTTCAATAAAAACAAATCAATCAATTAAAAATATATCATATCATTTAAAAAATTTAACAATATTTAACACAATATTCTATATATTAAAATGTATAATAATTTAATATTGATGTATTATTTAAAAGTAATAGAGATATATTTTTATATTAATATAAATTTAAAATGTATAAATATATATTTTGGGGTAAATGGCGGTGAAGTAAAGTATTCACACTTGTAGTTATAATGGATAATTATTTATATTTGTGATTGTATTTATTTTGAAGATTTTTATTCTATTCGTTAGAATCATTTTTGGATATCCATTAAATAAGAGTAAAATTGCCATCTCTATGCTAGTATAGTTAGAATTTAAAAGGTTTTGTGATCAACTGTCCCACATCGTTTATTAACATCAACATAATAACATTTATAAACTAAGTGCAGTTGTCAAGCCTTTGTGTTCGTAAAAAGGAGAGATGGTTGGCATCTCCCCTGACAGGGATGGGAACAGCCTTCGGGCTTTCCTGTTAACACACATCCGGTTAAGGCTTTCCCCTTGTGGGATCTATAACCCAATTTTTTTTCCTTTTGCTTAAGTCATCACACAATTTCCATAAAACAAAATTATATCAAAGTAATTCTGTTTCGCCCGTATTTGACATGGATAAGCCCGTAGTTTTTGCATATGAAGAGATTTTTTCTTCAACTGAAGGCTTCTATGATTCCAATCTACTTGAACATGGAACATGTTGATTAGGAAGTTAAAATCGGATCTTTAAGATTCTAATTGTACACCTATTAGTAGGTAATAATTAGGATTAAAGTTTTTGTTTTATTTCTTGATTTGAGATAGGATATCCTTAGTAAATTAATTTTCAGCATTATTTGATTGTAGAAAATTAAATTCTCTGTTCTATATATATTCTTTTATGTAACCAGTTTTAAAATATCAATTGCATAAAGCAATTATTTTTTCGCATGATATCATAGCTAGAACTAAACAATTCTTAATCTCTTTTATCGACTTAGCCATAGAAGAAGAAAACAAAAGGCACAACTAGGACGGTAAATGAGTCGAGTCAAGTCAAATTCGCCTCAGTTCGGCTCGACTCGTTAAGGATTGATTAAACTCAAATATTGGTTCGAGTTGGACACAAATTTTTTTTAAGCTCGAACTCGACTCGTGATAAGTTCATGAACAGTTAGGTTCAACTCGTTTGGTTCAAGTTGTTAGGTTCAACTCATCTGTTTAAGTCTATTTTTTTTATATGTTTAACATTTTAAATTAATATTTTTTTAAAAAAGAAAATGTTAAAATAAAATAAAAGTTATTGTATTGGAATTTAACTTTGTCGCAAAAATCTACTAATTCAAAAACTACAAAACTTTTAAGAGATACATTTAAAAGTCTAATTCAAAAGCTACTCAATTAGAGTTTAAATTTGTCTCAAAAAAATGCACAGCTTCATCTAAATATTGATGAACCTCACAAATTTAATGAAATAATACATAAAAAATTATTAAAAATTGATACATTTCCATCACAGAATATATACAACTCTTGCAACTTTCATTACACATGTTATTGTCGCAAATGCCATAATGCCTCCAACAAGAATGATTCTAAATGCAATTGTCAGCTTTACTGTCATAAATAATACTGAATGAGCAATATAGAGCTAAGATTTGGAGTAAATCTTTAAACCTACTCTTAGCGACAATATAATCCTTCTCATATATAATCGAGTTGACTCATGAATCTAACGAGTCGAACTATGTATAGTTCAAGTTCAACTCATTTAGTTAACGAACTTAGTTTTTCACTCATATTCAACTCATTTGGTTCATGAACCTAGTTCAACGATGAAATTATCGAACTGAGTTCCGAACTATTTTCGAGTTGGCTCAGTTTATTGGCAACCCTAGGCACAACCATATAGACTGACACAAATTTTGTAAGCTCAATAAATGAGGCTGCACTTCTCGTCACTAGTCACAATTTGAATGCCCAAAACTACCTTCAATGGAAGAGGCATCAACCAGATACCTATGAAAAGGTGGAATGAAATTGTCCTTTCAGCAAAGAACAAATGGACACACGGTAGAAAATACTCCAGCAAACTATTCTTACTATAGGAAAAAGTGGTACAACTATAGTAGCACAAAAAGATAATTTTTAACATGCTTTACACACTAGCCAAGCAAAACCGAAATCATGGATCATAGATTCAGGAGCCTCAAATCACACGACGAGAGATATAACCGTATTTAATAAGTATTCTCTCTGTTATGATAACTCCAATATTCTGATTGCTGATGACACATTGTCAAAAGTTACTGGTACAAGTTCAATTATTATTTCAAATGATATTATTATGGACTATGTATTGTATGTGCCCAAACTTGATTTTAATTTGATGTCTATTAGCAAATTGACCAAAGATTTGAGACGTGCCACTAAATTTCTCCCTAATCTGTGTGAGTATCAAATTTTGGAGTCAGGGAAGACAATTGACAATGTTAAAGAGTGTGGTGGACTCTACTATCTAGAAGTTAAAAGTTTCTTCAAAGAACCTAAAGCTAACTCTTGTGCAATAGTTTCTCCAAGTAGCGTGGATTATCCAAATAATGAAGAGTTTGTAATGTTGTGGCACTATCGATTATGCCACTCAAATTTCATGTGTTTACACAAAATGTTTCCCTCACTCTTCAATATAAATAAAAAGAATTTCAATGTCAAATGTTTCAATTATCAAAGCATACTCGAATCACATACTCACCTAAATCATATAACCCTCTCAACCTTTCTCCTTAATTCATAGCGATGTATGAGGGCCTTCTTCGGTCAGCAACATAAAAAATGCTAAATGGGTTGTCACGTTCATTGATGATCACACAAGAGTCAGATGGGTATTTCTTATGAAAGAGAAACCATTATCACACCATGGTCAAACGCAATTCCAAACAAAAATTAAGGTGCTCAGAACTGACAATGATCGTGAGTATTTTAATTTGGTTCTAGAGTCTTACCTTAAAATCCATGGAATTGTACACCAAAATTCATGTGTAGATACCCCCAATAAAGTCGGGTCACATAAAGGAAAAGTAAACACCTATTAGAAGTAACAAGATCTCTCATGCTAGTCATAAATGTACAAAAACACTTTTAGGGAAATATTGTCCTTTCAGCCAACTATCTCATAAATAGGATGCCTTCCCGTATTCTCAACTTCGACACACCTTATTCCACTCTATAAGCCTTTTCCCAACCTGCAAAATTATCAACTCAATCCCATTTAAAATATTTGGGTGTTCAACATTTGTTCACGATCTCAACTCTAATCGAAGCAAACTTAACCCAAAATCCATCAAATATGTTTTTCTTGGCTACTCACCTCACCAAAAACGATATAAGTGTTACTCTCCAACAACGTGAAAATTTTACCACACTATGGATGTGACCTTCTTTAAAAATCAACCATTTTACTCCAAACTTAGAATTCAGGGGAGAACAACTTATTCCCG